ACTCCGTCTTGCGGAACACTCGGGTCTCGGACTGCTAGACTACTGACCTTCCACGGCCTGCAGTTCAGCGTCTTAACCACTTGAGCCACCGCAGCTCCCCGCTCTATACCTACCAAGATCTTATTTTTATAAATGCTATTCCTGGCTGTCAGCGGTCTTGGCAAAGGCCTAAAAGCCTTCAAGGCAGGCGTGGTGTTGGGATGGAGGCATCCACTGGAAACGAGGCATAACCCTGACCTCTTCAGACGAGGGACAGCAGCATTTCAGTGCAAGAGGTCCGGTTATGTCAGTAAAGAGAACACGCTGGGAGCAGGACGCTTATGGCGACAGCGGTGAGAATTATTTATGCAGCAAACTGGAAAGTAGATATTTACCCAAGATTAGAAGAGTGCAGTTATGGCGAAATTAATGTCTCATTTGAGAAACAGAGCGGTTACGAAATTTGAGGAGAGATGGAGTGTGCGTTATTCCTGTGAAAGCAGGAAACAAATCTAGAATGAGACGTTTAAAAATGAGAGCCAGTTTGGCGTAGTGGTTAAGAGCGTGGACTCTGATCTGGGAGAACGGGGTTTGAGTCCCCACTCCTCCGCATGCAGCTGCTGGTGTGGCCTTGGGCCAGTCACAAGTTCTCTCAGAGCTGTTCTCTCAGGAGCAGTCTTCGAAAGAGCTCTCTCAGCCCCACCTGCCTCACAAGGTGTCTGTTGTGGGGAGGGGAAGGGGAAGGGGAAGGGATTGTAAGCTGCTCTGAGGCTTCTTTGGGTAGTGAAGGGCGGGGTATAAATCCAACATCGTCCTCCTCTTCTTTATCTTCTTCATAACTGCATTACCATGAAGAAGCAGAACGAGAAGAAGTCCTGAATCTTAAAGCCAGTTTGGTGTAGTGGTTAAGTGCGTGGACTCTAATCTGGGAGAACCGGGTTTAATTCCCCACTCCTCCACGTGCAGCTGCTGGTGGCCCCATAGTTCTGTCAGAGCTATCCTTGAAAAAGAGCAGTTTCTGTCAGAGCTCTCTCAGCCCTACCTACCTCACAGGGTGTCTGTTGTGGGGAGGGGAAGGGAAAGGAGTTTGTAAGCCGCTCTGAGACACCTTTGGGTAGCGAAGGGCGGGGTATAAATCCGATCTCTTCTTCTTCTTCTCTTCTTAAATCCAATGTCGTCTTCTTCATAATTGCATTGCCATGAAGAAGCAGAATGAGAAGAAGTCCTGAATCTTAAAGGTTGACTATAAATGTATCCCAACAAAAGTTATTTCTCTTATGTACTGAAGGGGGTGTTGGGGAGAAAACGCTTTCTGTTTTTTTCTTTATGTTAAATAATTACTTTTTACCTTTTGTATATTCTTCTATATTATCTATGTGTGTTTAAAAAAATAATGCCAAAAAAAGAAAAAGTGACTCCTCTTCTTGCTGTGACTTTCAGTGGAAGATAGACGACAAGCCGGTCAAAGTGGACAAGTGGGATGGGTCGGCAGTGAAAAATTCCTTGGACGATTCTGCCAAAAAGGTACCTTTCCCCCCGCATGCTCTCCCTCTCTCTCTCTCTCTCTTCCTCCTCGTTGGCCTTTTCTTCACAAATATAAGGGAGAGGTTTCCCCTCGCTCAGAAGCCAGTCGAATCCGACACTAGGGTTGCGGCGCTCATCTCCGTTTCCAAGCCGAAGAGCCAGCGCTGTCTGAAGAAGTTTCCGTGGGGTCCCTCGGCCCATTGCTGGCTCAGCTCCCTCCGGCTCTTCCTCCTTCTCCTCCTGCAATCCTCGGCGTCGGCTATGGTCGGTAGATTCATTCGGCGCCCGGTTTTGCGTTGGCGCGGCTTCGGCTCCGTCCGTCGTGGCTCCGCCACAAATATAAGGTAGAGGTTTCCCCTTGTTCAGAAGCCAGTCGAATCCAACTCTAGGGTTGCGGCGCTCATCTCCGTTTCCAAGCCAAAGAGCCAGCGCTGTCCGAAGACGTTTCCGTGGTCATGTGGCCGGCATGTCTAGACGCCGAGGCACACGGAACGCTGTTACCTTCCCACTGAAGTGGTACCTATTTATTTATTTACTTTTGGCATTTTTACTCCACCCTCTTTAGTGGTACCTATTTATCTACTTGCAATTCCTTGCTTTCGACCTGCTCGGTTGGCAGGAGCTCACTCTGTCACGCGGCACTTGGGTCTCGAACTGCCGAGCTACCGACCTTCCTGTCTGCAGTTCAGCGTCTTAACCACTTGAGCCACCGCACAAACGTTACACACTTTTGAAATTTTTATTTTATTTTCGCATTTCTATTCCGCTCTACCTGGAAACGGGCTCAGGGCAGATCACAACAACCGTTGGGTTTTCATCCACACAATACAGTGATGAATAATCAGTTGAAACATTAAAACAAGCGTTTAAAAACAAGCTGCATCGATACCGGTGCCACTTGACTCTAGAATTTCTTTAATCCAGGCCGCGCACAGGTGGTGTCTTCAGGAAGGGGGGGGGGTTCTTTTTTCTTTTCTTGGATGCCTGCGGCCTCACCCAAGGGCCT